TCGCTCTCGTCATCGCACACGCGTTTTGCTCACCTCCTGAGTCGAGACCAACCGGCATCCTTTAAATGGTGGATCGTCACCATCGCTCTCACGGCGTTGCTCCTGCCTCTTGGTGTCTTAGTCGCAGGGCACGTTGCAAACGTGTATTTGAATAAGGAGTAAGTGTGCCAGCAACATGGGACTTTGCTAACTACAGCTTGCCTCCCTCGGCAGAAGTTCTTGCTGCACGCAACCATACGGAAATTATCCAACACAAGCTCGAAAAGCTTAAAGGGAGGCAGAGCTTCTTACTCTACGCAATTACACCGAGGCTAGTTGTGTTAGTGGGCCAGCAGCTGGGTGAGGCGATCAACACTCTCATTAAGCTTTTCGAGCTTGAGTTGGATGATTTCCGTATGGTTGCGTATAGCCAGAAGTTCTGCCGAGGGAGACAAGCTGTAGTTAGCAAAGTCCCATGTTGCTGGCACACTAACTCCTTATTCAGATAGACATTAGCTACGTACCCTACGACTGTGACGCCGACAGGGAGTAGCAATGTCGTTAAAGCGATGCTAAGTAGTCAGAATTTGATCCCTCGATCTGGTTGTACTTGACTAAGGAGATGAGCAAAACGCGTGTGCGATGACGAGAACGACACACCCAAAACAATCATGGATCAGCACTTACCGTAAGCTTTCGTTCTCGTCATCGCACACGCGATTTGCTCACCTCCTTAGTCGCAACCGGCATCCATCAAATGGTGGATCCTCAGTATCGCTCTAACGGCAGTGCTTCTGTCAGTAGGGGTGACGATTGCCGGTCATGTGGCAACCACCTACCTGAATAAGTGTGACGAAGGGCGAACAGGACAGGACGAATGCTTGTGCTGAAGACAGGACTTGGGCGAGATGTAGGGGACAAGAATAGAAATTGTAAACTAAGGAACAAGACAGCGGAAGGCTGCCTACTTATGTCTACCAGGTACCAGCATGAGAGCGGATGGCGATGATGGGGATGGAGCCCACGGGAGCCGACTCTCAGCAGGAGAACAGTGAAAGAAGAGGGGAAGCGAGATTGCATGAGCCCAGTGGAGATGTCCGAGCTGCGAGATAAGGAAGAGACAGAACAAGGGACGACGTGGTAGACGTCGTCGACGAGTAAGAGAGCGAGTAAGGACAACGTGACAGAGCGTTGCCGGAAGCGAGGAAGCTAGGCGCGGGACGATAGGCAACGTGCTGAGGTGATAAGCGTCGTTGAATGGCGGAAGGTAGAAGAGCCGCGATGAGTTGCTAGAGCATGTGGTGCGGGAAAGTCGGATGCGAGGTTTAAGGCTGCGTGTTCGTTACAGAACCTCCTCCTCCAGGCGCTGCGTCTCGAAGTGCACTTGGTCGAGTGGGTAGCTTGACGTAGGATGGGACAGCAGCATCGGGGTTGCGGAGATGGAAGTCGTGAACAAGAATCGGAGCATTCTGGTAGGCCTCACGAGCAGGGATCCACTCGTCCTCATCGTGTGGGAAGCCTTCGTAGTGGATTTTGTATTGGAAGCCGCTACCGCGTGGTTGAATAGCCATGATTTCATCGTAGATCCATTCCAGGTTGTTGCCGACGACGATAGGCTCGGGAGCTTCTTGAGGTCGCTCCAGGTAGGCCTTGCCGAGGGACTCTGGTGATTGATGAGGAGACAAGAGGCTAGGGTGGAACACATTGTGTATTCGCATCGAGGCAGGAAGACGGAGTTGGAAGGCTCGGTCGTGGATTGTGTCGGTAATGGGAAAAGGACCGAGATTCTTGTGCGAGAATTTGCCTTGTTTGTGCAATGCTTGGACGTTCTTGGCGTTGAGCCAGACTTTCTGGCCGAGCTCGAAGGGAGGAGCTTCAAGACGATGACGATCAGCGAAGGCCTTTTGAGCAGCTTGAGCGTCTTTGAGATGATCCTTGAGTTCTTGTTGAACAAGCTTGAGACGTTGAGACATGTCGTAGCTAGTAGCATTGCGAGAATCGGTAGTGGCATCGAAGCGTAGACCAGACCGAGGATGGTAAGAATAATTGGCAAAGAAGGGTGTTGTCTTGATGGACGCATGAACCGAGTTGTTGTAGGCAAATTCGGCTCTTGGCAAGAGCTTGACCCAATTGTCTTGATCGGCGTTGGTGAAGCACCGAAGGTATTGTTCGAGGGTGGAATTTGTTCGCTCTGTCTGACCATCTGTTTGAGGGTGATAGGCAGTAGACAGATGTGCTTTGACAGCAGGGTCGAAGTGACCAAGGAACGCTTTCCAGAACGAGGAGACGAAGACAGAGCCACGATCGGAGACAATATCGAGTGGCATGCCATGGTGAGTGAAGATTCTGTCCATGAACAATGCTGCGAAGCCTGCTGCGTCGGTGGCCTCATGGTAAGGAATGAAGTGAGCCATTTTGGTGAGGCGATCGACGACAACAAGAATAGAATCGAAAGAGTCCGAAGGTGGAAGCTTGACGATGAAGTCTAGCGAGATAGAGGACCATGGAGTCTCTGGAACAGGCAGAGGCTGGAGCAGGCCATAAGGCTTGTGGCGCGAGACCTTGGCGCGAGCACACGTATCGCAAGTTGCGACGTAATCGTGGATGTAAGCACGCATTGACGGCCAATAGTACTGCCGAGAGACAAGGTCGAGAGTCTTGGCGACACCCCAATGACCGGAGATAGGCGAGTCATGATGTTGCTGGAGAATAGCCAGCTTCAGAGGAGCATCAGATGGGACGTACACACGGTCTTTGTAGAAGAGAAGACCGTTGTCGAGAGAAAAAGGCTGGTCAGCAGTGAGATGGGATGCATCAGAAGGTGCTGGCGAGGAGGAACGACTTGGCGACGGAGAAGATGGACGGCTTGACGTCGAAGGAGGCTGCTGAAGTGCGTCGAGAGCGTCTTGCACCAGTGGATCAGCGGAATACGCGGCAATAATGCGAGCGCGGAAGTCGTTGTCTGGGAAATTGGGAGCAGACGGCACAGAGGTGACTTGCCTTGAAGTTGGCGAAGTCCGAAGAGTAACAGGAGCAAGTGACAATTGACCTGGCTTGAAGAAAGTCATCGTGCGAGTTGATTTGCGATCCCCCTCGGAAGGCCGGAGGTCCTCGCGACGGCTTAGTGCATCAGGTTTGCCTTGTTGAGCACCAGGTCGATAGACGATGTTGTAGTTGAACCTGGACATGAAGAGGGACCAGCGTACTTGACGTGAACTGAGAAGTCGGTTCGTGTTGAAGTACTCCAAATTCTTGTGGTCGGTGAAGACAGTGATGGCATGTGCAGAGCCCTCCAGATAGTGGCGCCATGCTTTGAAGCAATCAAGAATTGCCAACAACTCCTTGTCGTAGATTGGGTAGTTGCTTTCTGGAGGCGAGAAGGTGCGGCTGTGGAAAGCCACGGGTCGAAGGATCCCGTTTGCATCGGCTTGGGACATGACACAGCCAAGTGCAAAGTCGCTGGCGTCAGTCTCAATGACCACTGGCTTGTCTGCGTCGAAATGAACGAGGATAGGGGCAGAAGAAAACAATGATTTGAGCTGAGTGAATGCCGCGGTAGCTTGATCGTTCCAAAGGAACACTTTGGTCGCCTTGCTTGTGAGAGCGTAGAGCGGCTTGACAATCTTGCTGTAGTTGGAGATGAAGCGACGGTAGTAGTTGGCGAAACCACAAAACACTTGGACGTCGTGGACTGACTTTGGTTGAGGCCAATTGATGATGGCGTTGACCTTGACGGGGTCCATTGCAATGCCGGTGGGAGACACGACATAACCAAGAAATTCGACCGTGTCGACGTCGAAGACGCATTTTTCCGCTTTGACGAAGAGATTGTGCTCGTCGAGAACCTTGAGAACTGATAGAACATGTTCAGTGTGCTCGTCCTGCGTTTGGGAGTAGATGAGGATGTCATCAAGATAGCAGACGGCGAATTTGTCGAGGAAAGGTTGAAGCACAGTGTTCATCAACGTCTGGAAAGAAGCGGGAGCGTTGGTAAGTCCAAAAGGCATAACGTTGTACTCGTAGTGCCCGTAACGAGTCTTGAATGCGGTCTTCCATTCATCTCCCGGCGCAATACGCAGTAAGTTGTATGCGCCGCGGAGGTCAAGCTTGGTGAAAATCTTTGCATGGTGCAATTGATCCAAGGTTTCAGAGATGAGAGGAAGAGGAGCCCGATTCTTGACGGTGATGGCATTGAGGCCGCGATAGTCGATACAGAGACGCAGAGACCCGTCCTTCTTTTTGACAAAAAGGGCAGATGCGCCAGCTGGACTTTCGGAAACAGAGATATTGCCGAGCTTGAGCTGTTCGTCCAAGTATTCCTTGAGGATTTTCAGTTCCTCTGCACTCATGGGATAAAGCGCCGTCGAAGGAGGCGAGGTGCTCGGGAACAAAGGAATCTTGTGATCGTAAGCAGCATTATCGGGAAGGCGGGCAGCCTGAATCTTCGAGAAGATGCGGAGAAGGACGTGATATTTGTCCGGTATCGCGCGTAGCAGGTCTGGCTCGACGTCGGAATAGATGTCGGCGAGATCGATGTGGAGAACATCGTGAGTTTTTGCTAGCGGGCGAAAGACTTGAGCGACACCATGTGGATTTGCATGACGTTGGCATTGACTGGAGGAGCGGCATTGTGTTGGACGGCGATTGCTTGATGTGCGCCTTGCACGAGGCCGGGAACTGGACTGTGGACGCAGACCAGTCGATAACAGGATTGTGCTTCGCAAGCCAAGTGGTGCCAAGAATGAGATCGTAGCCAGAAAGCTCAGCAACGACGAAGTGGTGGCATTCTTGGTGGTTACCAATGGTCATGCGAAGGGGAGACGTGAATTGAGAGGCAGACTCGAGTTCCTTGCCCGTAAAGCCTTTCAGCGGGATTGCGCTGTCAAGGGTCACGGTTCGGAAATCGGCCTCGACCACACAAGTCGCGCTGATGAAGCAACTTGTTGCACCGGAATCTAGGAGGGCAAACGTGTCGAGGGACCTATCACCATGGGAGACGGTAACAGGCAAGACACTTTGCGGATGAGACGAGAGAGGAGGCAGAGAGATGGAGAAAAGACAGAGATTTGCGCTATCGTCTACAACAGACAAAAGCGAAGGCGCGTGAGGGTCCTGAATGGCCCGGTCCCAGGAGTGCCCTACTGGTTCCTGCCGGGTCCATTTGGGGACTGCCGAGGCTTTTTTGGACACTTGTCTTGCCAGTGACCTGCTCCACCACAGTAAACACAAAGGTCGTCCCGGATGCGTTGTTCTTTTCGCGCTCGCCTCTGAGCGGGAGTCAAGGGCCGGAATGTGGCGGAGTCGATTTCCATCGGCTGAGGCGCCTGCGACGTCGAGGCAACAGGGCGAAGGCGCTGCTGCAGAGGTTGATAGGGGTGGTCGCGTTTTGCGACTCTGGCGAGGTCCGCAGTGGAATTGTTCAAGCGCCTTGCGAGATTCTCGCGCTTCTGGATACGCGACTCCACCTTGACAACCTGCTGCGCTAAGGCCGCGTAGTTGTTGTCGACCACCTCGTCGAGCTTGAAGAGGGCTTCGGTGAACTTCTCGTTGAGTGTGCCGAGAAGCATGTCGCACTTGGTCTCCTCAGTGATATTCAAGACCAGAGTGAGACGCTCGAACTCGGCCAGGTGGACGCTGACGGAGGTCTCCTTTCCTTGCTTGAGGGTGGCGAGAACTGCATTGGCATCTGGCAGTCCAGGAAACGAGATGAGGCCAGTTGTGGGGTCCGCCACTGCACGCGCGTCGCGCCACTTCGCCGCATCGCCTTGGAGGAGTTGGAGAATCCAGGCGATGGCTATGCCCTCATTTGGGAAGAGGTAAGGGCAGGCCTGCATCTTGAGGCGACAGGATGCGGCGAAGTTGCGCACGTCTTGACCAAGAAGATCGGCGTCGAAGGGTTTAGGGTCCGCGATCTTGACGGCAGTCTTGGCCCAGTTGGCTGCTGGTGTGGGTGCAGGGACGGGTGGTGAGGCGGCTGCTGAGGCGGTAGCAGCTGCGGCGAAGGCCTCGAGCTGTGCAATGCGCTGCATCATGGTCTCTTGCATAGCAAGAAGAGCTTGGCGAGAGGGAAGCCCGTCGGCCTGAGGCGAAGGCACATCAGACTGGGCGGAAGGTACGTCGGGGACTGACGACATACTGGAGTGCCTGTACAAGCTTTGTTGAGTTTACAAAGTGTGACGAAGGGCGAACATCGTTACAAGAAGAAGGCAAGGAGGGGAGGGCAGCTTCTTTATACTCAGCCGCGAGCAGGAAACGAAGGCAACAAATGAGGAGCGAGACTGCGACGCTCTCCAGGTACAGCGGCAAAGAGAGAGACGCCATGAAGCTGGTAGACACGTAGAATCTTCTGTGAGAGCGTACCGCACCCAGCGGCAAGCATTGGCCATGGCTTGCGCAAAATGAGATCTTGAGTGACCGTTACACAGACAAGCGCAAACAGCGACACACCAGCTGATCCAGACCGTATCAAAAGACAGGCAGGCAGGAGGGTATGCAGGAAGACTGGCACTGCCATCTGCATAGTGGCTTGTGAGTGTGGTCATTGGTCAAGCGCAGGTGTAGCAGGCTGATGCCTAGAGCCAAGACAAGGTGTAGAGTTATGCGGATGGCCTCAGGTACAGCACAAGACGCAGATTCGACTACGTGGTCTACGAGACCACTCAATAAGTCCATACTGGGCTCTTCAGACTTGCTCGGCATTGTTGTGCCGCAGCCGACATTCAACATCAACACCTTTCCGTCATGTACACCATCAAGATGTGCATATCTTAGCAAGTGAGCATATCAGCGAACTCAGACCATGCTAGGCAAGTGCTCCAAGGTGCTGAGGTACATTGGTCAGATTGCTACCAACAGGAAGTTGACCGATGGCAGGCCGAGGACCCGAGGTGTGATACAGAGCCGAGCGGATGATCCTGAAGAGCTCCTTCGGCGCATCACATGTACCCGATGCCAACATCCTCCCACACTGGTGACATCCTTGTTGGAAGAATCTTCTCTAGAGCTTCAGTTGAGGTAAGACCCATACACGCAAGCACCCACGCGCCACAAGCAGCAATGCCTTTTGTGCTGACGAGGCTAGTGGATTAAGCAACAAATGACATGGATGCAGCGTAAAGAGCCTGTACATCATGACGCATGCGTTGCCAATTCGCCGGAGATCGCGAAAGAGGATGACTTGACGACTGAAATTCCAGCATCAACGCTCCTCACATATTCTTCCGTACGCACAGCTCGTAGCTATACACAGCATCATTGTTGATGTATTGTTGGTCATAGTCTAGGTGCGGATAGTTTGTGCCATCACCTCATCTGCTCAAGGCCAATCACGTGGCCAGGAACGTTAGAACTACGAGCAATAAGTTCCATTGCTTGTGACGAACGTTGTTCAGTTTGTACAACCACACCTGCGGAGCTTCTATGCTCTGAACATCATTGGCACAATCTACAGGCCACCGCACGCTGCACATGGTCTTGCTCTCACCTAATTAGCTTGTATACGTGCTTTCTTTTTGTTGCGCTGTTTACAGGCTGTGCTTGGCAGTGCTTTCTGCAGACTTGCGATTAGCCTACAGCTGGCGCCTTACATTGCGCTCTCTTCAAGGCAGGACTCTGCGTCCAAAAAACTGTAGCAGGTCAAGATGAGTATCCATGCTTTGGATACCTTGAGTCCCGATCTCTCCTTGGTGTCTTCTGCGCAATACCTCAGAGCGTGGCGCAAATTTGTCGAGAGAATACCGCGCTTTTTGGGAGAGACGGTAGCGGTCGATGCACTGCCGCTCGCGTCTTTTCAGCTTTCCACTCTCAAAGCAGAGTATCTCAATCAAGTTCCGGGCTCCAAGTTGATCTCAACGGTTAAAGAAGTCAAGTTTTCTGATATTTTGGCCGAATTCCTCTTTCCGCGGCATGAGCGGCCTGCATTAGACAAAGAGCAACGAGCCAAGGTGAAAAAACCCGTCTCAAAGTGGTTGCTAATTCCAGCGCATCAACGAAATATACGCTCAGCGACCCACATTTGACGAGACCGAGTTCACTGTTGGAGATCTGAAGGCATTCTTCAGGCGCATCATGCCTGAAGTGCAGGCTGATCGCTTCGAATTTCTATACGCTGGGCGCAATCTCTGGATACCTGACAGCTTCACGATTCTCTCTGTGTGGACGGACCCAACACGCTACACTGCATATGCAAGTGACATATCTCTCAGCCTCGGTCTCAGCCTTCTCCCTTTGCGGATGGCCATTGGAGGGGAGCACTCTGCATTTGTCAAACATTACGCCCAGTACGGTCGCTCTACCGGTTCGAGTGACACAGATCAATGCCTCGTGCCTACAAATTCGAGATGCCAGCCTTGCGACAGATCAGAGTTGTGCACTCCCCAGGTGCTTTGGTCACCACAACATGCAGCTGCATGGCATAAATATGTTGTACGCGACTCACGCTTTGCTAAGGATCCTATCTCCTACAGAAACTTTGTTGAGCGTGCTACTTTGACATTCATTGACTCCACGGGCGCACCGTACCAGCGCTCTGCGGAGTCTCCCCTTCATGAGTTGTGTGGCGATGTCGGCTATACGAAGCTGGGAGAGATGTTCTTGGTGCCAGACTTGTCGGCAAGCCGCGAGTGGCGAGCCAATGTAAGCTATCGAGCAGCTCAACAGACGCAGACTGACACCTCGCAGGCAATAAATGATCTCTATGCTGCTCGACCAGATTTTGATGAGACGCAATTCTCGGTTGACGACCTAATCACTGTGGTGATGCGAGCTGTACCAAACCACCGTGTCGAAGTTGTTCATCCGCGACACCATTTACCCTTCCCAGGGCCGATGCCTCTTTGCAGTGTGCAGCAGGGTCTCATGAAGGAAAATAGAGCACGCGGGTTTTTTGGTCGTTTCGAAAGCGTCTTGCTCACGATTCGTATCGACACAGCGCAGAGCCAGGCCGAGATGCAACAGGGAGTTAGCGACGAGACCACGAAGCACGAACGAATACACGACGATGTAGTGCCAGCACAAGCATCTGACCGCACATCTGCAAGCGCTGCTGAAAGGTTAAGCATGACAAATACTCTCCGTCACCGCGCAATGGCAGCAATTTAATCTCAAGGATACGCGAATATGGGCATCGCCCTTGAGGCCAGGCTGGTACAATGCTGATATTTCTCTAGGAGGCACTTCTGCCGATGACTGCTGGTCCAACTACCAGAAGCTGCAAAGCCACTTCTACGGCAATATGACTGCCATCGGCAATCGCAGCAACGCATGCTTCCTCCATCCCCCTTTTCCTTTCCCAAGTCTTCATGACGTGGTGAAGCAAGTGCAGCATCTCGCTAGACTCGGCCCCGGCAAAGATGACGACTTTACCCACGGATGCATCGAGTCGGACCTGACTGCCACCGCCATTGTAGCAGCCCAGTGTGTTTGACCTGTAGACGTCACGGATGATGCGCATCGGTCATCAATGCTCTGTACTCGCAAGGCCCGTTTGTGTCAGAATGCGCAGCAAGTGGTTGGAGGGCAATATCGAATGAACTGTCTGCAGAACCTCACTTTTAAGTCTGTTGGGCGCATTGAGGGTCTCTGACTTCAGCGATGGTGTTCATTCTGCGCACGACGCGTCCATCGCCAGTGTGTTGTATCGTTACAGATTGCTGCGACAGCGAGTCTTGCGTATTGGTCTCATGGAGTCGAAAGGTGCGATGCCCGAAGCCTACATTGAAGGATTTATTGGCTAGTTATGCAGACTACCGGTGGCCTGCGATCCTGATGTTCTTGATGGCCGTATCGATCGTGTTGAGTTCTCTGACGCTTGATACACCATCAGCGGTGATTTTTTGCCTGCAATAATCACAAGCATATTGAGAGTGAATCTAGTGCACGGCGATGTCACTGCGATGTGTCTCATAGGTAAATTGATCGCGAGGCCTTGCTTATTCAGTGTACTCCTGCAGCCTTGATCCTCGTAAAAGACGAAGCCGCATCAGTGCGACGCGAGGGTGTGCATGCAGATGAGACGGCCGCCAAGGGTGAGATTTAAGAGTACTTTTGTGACGCTCTTGGTGAGGTTAGTTGTCCTGCTCATTTCCTCGGAAGTTGGACTGTTGCGAGGATGACTCATTATGACTTATCTGTGACTGCCTTTTGTCTTTCTCCTCGAGGGGCAGAGGCAGGAGAAGCGCTGGACACGGCCTTATTTGGGCTGTTGGCGGTGGTACAAGTCGGCGGAAGTGGTAGCCATAGCGTGAAGACTGATGAAGCAGCTGCTGGGTCTTCTGGTGTATAGCTCTTGCCAATGACTACAGCATGTATAGATGCGAGATGAGATTGGATCGGAAATTGGGCTGCAGATGTCAAAGCTGTCAACGGCAACACCCGACAACTGACTGCACTGACTGACTGACTGACCACTGACCAGCCTTCCATGCGCATAAATAGCCCGCACACTGCCAGGGTCAGTCCCCTGGCATCAACCATATAACACAGCAGCAGCGGCAGCACTCCTTCTCTCCCTCACTCTTCCCTCTCTACATTCAATCTTTTGACCATGGTTGCCTTCTCGCACCTCACACTCTCTTTCTCACTCGCTGCTGCCGTCCTCGCACACAGAGACGCACAACCACTGCACCAGAAGCGCGCAGTCCAAGTTGTTACTGTGACGGATGTCGTCTGGGAATATGTCACCATCACCCGCATAGGCCCCAAACCTACGACATTCACCATCTTGCCTAGTGGATTTCCCATTGCTGCAGCACAAGCACCAGCAGTAGCAGCAGCAGCCCCGGAGGCTGTTGCAGTCCCTGCACCTGCAGCGAATATCGCCGTCTCATCCGACCCACTCGTTGAAGCAGCCGTCAATGCGCCTGCCGTCCAAGCGCCTGTTGTTCAAGATGCGCCCGCTGTTGTGGCTGCATCAGATGCTCAAGTACCGCCGCCTGCTCCTGTTGCTGCTGCACCGGCTCCAGCGCCCGCTGCAGTAGAAGCATCTCCCTCCGTGAGCGGGTCAGGCAGTACCTTCAGTGGTGAAGCGACATACTACAACTTGGGACTGACTGCATGTGGTCAGACCTATACAGACAGCGACATGGTAGCTGCCATCTCCTTCCCACTGTTCAACCGCGACTCACCTGCAAACCCGAACCTTGCACCGAGCTGCGGCAAGAAGATCAAGGTGATGCGTGGAGGCAAGAGTGTTGTTGTGCAGATCCGGGATAAGTGCGAGGCGTGCAAGGAGTATGATGTGGACCTGTCGCCTGCTGCGTTCAACCAGCTGGGTGTGGAGCAGGAGGGCCGGTTCCCTATTACGTGGCAGTACCTGTAGCTGCATTATACACATACACTATGATCACACTGTTACACACTGACACTGACACTGCCACGGCCTTCTCCATGAAACGCCTTTGTACTCTGCTCACATGATCTCTCGGGCCATCCGCAGCAGGAGACAGAGAACCCTTTTTGTCCTTTTTTGTTTTTCATTCGGCGACTTCCCCAGATTCAGCTCTACCAAGCTCTTCTTCTCTCTAGCTAGCTACTCTCTACTTAGCTAAGAGTATATCCTGCTACTCTACTGTCTACTACCTAGCTACATCCATGACACACACCCTCCCCTACGAAATCATCGCGCAAATCGTACAAGAGGCACACACACAGCGCGACGACACCTACGCACGCCTACGCCTCCTGCGCACACTCAGACAGGTCGCCACCGTCACCGACCACCTCACCCTCAAACACCTCTACCAAAGCGTACCCTTCAGCGGGCCACATGCCTTTCACCGCTTTCTCGAAGAACTCAGGCGATTCCCTGCTCGCGGCTTGCATGTCAAGGAACTCGATTTCAGCGCCTTCACCAGCGTAGGCCTAGGCAGGTCGCGCAACTGCAACAAGCACTTCACCATGCTCACCTCTGCCACATTGCGCGAATGCCTCTTGCTCTGTCCAAACATCGAGCGCGTCTTCCTCTCAGAGGCAGTGGAGAATGATATGGACGCTACCGTCATGCATACCCTATTCAATGCACTCCCAAAGCTCACGACGCTCGACTTTTGCGGCGCAGACGCACCGAGCTTTGTTGCAGCCATGGTAGCAAGTGGAGCAGGCGGCCCATTGAACGTGCGCCACTTGTCGCTCCACAACTGCAGCACCCTGCCGTCAACCTTCTTTGACGACTTTTTGCCGCGTTTGACACAGGTGGAGCAACTCGATCTCTACAACACAAAAGTATCGGGTACCGCTCTACGCTCTCTGCCTGTTACTGCTAGCCTGCACGGTCTCGTACTCAGCCAGTGCGTGCATGTCGCAGCCGCAGATTTGACGGCTTTTATCATGGAGCATGCAGCAAGCACACAACTCGAACGCTTTGATTTGCACTTTTCTTGGAACAAGACGCATCCCTTCGAAACACACCCAACAGAGCTCGACTTGTTTTGTGCGCACCTGCCACGCCAGTTGACGTCGTTGAATGTGAGTGGTGTGGAGCTGACGACGGATCATTTGACACTCTTACCGCAAGGCTTGATGGAATTGGGTGCGCATGATATCGAATTGACGGGGGAAGTGGCTGCGCGATTACCCAAGCTTGAATACCTACTGCTCAGCACAAATGTCATTTCATCGGAAGTGACATTTGCCAATATTCTCACAACGCTCTTCCCGCGCCTCGCACTGCTGGAGTGTCCTGGTTTTGCAAGACTCCATATTGCTTCTTCCTTGCAGTGGGAGAAGATTGAGGGACGCGGTCGACGTGATTGGCTGCGTCGTCGCGGTGTACAGGTGACGATTGAGGGAGCTCGACAGCAGTGGCATGCTCGGAAACTCAATTTGGCTGGGTATGCACCGCGTGGGTTGTATGAGTACTATGCATACCGCATTTGATGGTCAGGATTGACTTTGTCTGTCTTGCATAGCCTGTCTATAGTACAGTATCAGTACTAGTTCTTCCTGTATCTAGCACTAGTCTCTGACTTGATTGTTGACGACCGCGACACCACAACAACAAACCATGAAGAAAGGCGACAGGCTCAGCGACTTCTTCAAGGAGGCAGACACCCTTCCCTCGCCCATCGAGAAGCAAGTCAAGCGGCGTACACGGAAGCAGCAGCAGCTAGCAACGTTTGATCCAGACGTGCACGGCCTAGAGAGCGATTCAAGCGGTGACGATGAAGTCGCGTTTCTCTCCAACATCACCTTCTCTCCCATCAAGGCGCAAGCTACACGACCTGTCCATCAAGGCACACCTGCAGTCATGACAACTGCAACGCCAAAGCGAGACTATGAAGTGATTGTCGACTACGACTCTGATGGAACAGGCTTCGCCTTTTCACCTGTCAAGTTCACGCCAGCACCCATCAAGCGACGCGTCAACACACCAGCGCCTGCTGCCTCTCGTGGAGCAGTCATTTGGGACTCTGCTCAGCGTCGTGTCGTTGCTCGAGACGCGTCCATCGTGACACACACGCGTGATGCGTCGCAACGGGTCGATGCGGCAGACCCGTACTCGCCGCAAGCTGTTGCTTTGTCTACACACTTGGGCTTGTCACCAGATACAACGTCGTCTTCTGCGACGACAACGCCTGAGCAAGGTATGCATCGTGCCATCTACGCACGTCCACGAGGGCCGCATCTAGCAAGCTTTGGCAAGAGACAGCAATCGAACCGCCTGGTGTCCATCACGCAACACGCACCGCATGTCCGCTTCACGCGCTCTATTTCTGGCCAACGGCCTGCCGTCTCACTCGAAACGCTCCCCATTCCTGCGGCTTGTATACCGAAACCGCCTACCTTACGACCACGCACACAGAAGCAAGTCCTCAAGATCCCACTGACACAACCACGCTCTCCAAGATTCGCACTCGATGCACTGAAAGCAAGTCGTGAACGTGCTGCGCTCGATGCAGCAAAACAACAATCCCTGCAAGCACTCGCTGTCGCTGCGAATACCTATGCGAGCCATGTGCTCGATGACATGTCACCCACAAACACCGCGACGCCACGCGTGAAGAGCACGAAACGCCGTCGTTGTAGCGTGGTCAGTCAGGAAGAACAAGGTCGTCCATCACGCGAGCAGACTCGCAACAAGCGCATCAAGCGTGAGTCTAGACAAGCTGTTGCTGATGTTGCTGCAGCAGAAGAAGAAACATCCCATGCACGGCAAACACAATTCCGTGCTTCTATGCCACTTGGCAAGTTGATGCAGCCGATCATGCTCCTGTCACCCGCTGCAAGAATCGGCAATCAAAGGCATATTCAGGGGCTATCGGAGGTAAGGCAGGCCGGTCCAGGGATGGCTGTCTTGCCACACGTGGACGGGCAGCAGGGACTGAGTGGACGGAGGAAGGAAAGTAGACGAGAGTCCGTTTGCTCAAAGGAGAACGCACCCGTGCAGAGTCCGAAGCTTGTGGGTGGAAGAGAGACAAGGGATGCATGCGATGCAGGAAGGCTGGAGCGGGAGAGACGTGTGAGGGAGCGGGAGGCCTTGCGTACGTCTGGGCTCGCGGCCGTGCTGTCGTGGGCGTCTTCTGCGAGGAAGTGACAAGGTAATTTGTGATAACCTGACCTTGGTCGTGCTTTGGCAGATGAAACGCTTTGATGCTGTTCAGTTGCAGCTGCTGGCTAGACTGCATGCCTAGCTCTGTGTAGATGTAGATCCAAGTGCATCAATGCGTATCCACTGCACCAGCGCTAGACTGCCTGATTCTCCTGCGCAAAGAGAGCTGCAGGGACACGGTCGTTGCGTGCATGCCATCAAAGCACATGGGACACAAACACACAAACATGCTCATCCTCACATACTCACATACTCAGACACTCAGGAGTCCAAGCGTGATGCTGAGACTTGAAATTCCGGTCAAGGGCCGTGCTCACACAAATGGAGATGCAGTGCTGCAGCTTGGCACAAGTTGGCAGTGACGATGTGGCAGTGGATGTGTTGCTGGCGTGTTCTTAGTGGTGATGCTAGAGGATGGGCCTGATCTAGACTTGCTCTCTGGCCGTAGTGACTTGCTCTATGGTGCTATTTGTGTATATCATGAGGTGAATATGGTGAATATGGTGAATCTGGCGAGTATTCCGCTATCCATCGCGATCTGAGTAGGAAACTGAAACTATAAAGACACAACCACCCACCCACCATACCCTCCATACACTCCACAAGCATGGACCAGGACTTCTGCCTCATCTGCAACAGGCACACACTCGGCGGCATCTACTGCAGCCAACAGTGCCGCATGGCAGACCTGGAAAACTCACTACCACACCAGCACACAGCCAAGGCCTCCCACCAAGCACCACAGGTCGACTTCTTCTCAACCGGCTCTGCACACACAACACCCAGCAGCAGTCCGAGTGTCCTGCCTACGACCAAGTCCAATGCTCCCAGCCTACCCTTACTCTCTTCCTCATGCGAGCGATTTCTACTGAGTAGGCCGGCAGAGTCAGCGGCAGCGGCAACGGCTCCGGCGCGTCGCCCTTCCTTCCCACCGTCCATGTCTGGCGAGAATACAAGTGTCTGGCGACACCGTAACCTGCTCTACTACACCGCATGAGCCTGTCAATTGCCAGCATACACTCTCCACTCTAACGACACACACATACTCATGACACTTCAATTTCAAAAAGGCATACAAACACTTCAGCAGCGAGCACGTCTTCTTTCTTCTCTATTCCAATGCATCCTCATCTCACTCTTTGGCTTGCCATCACTGACTCCTCAACTTGACACGTCCGCGCCTTGGCCCTCAAGCTTGGCAAAAGTCATGATGAAACACGCAAAGCACCACAAAAAAAAAACATATTTCTGGATGTCGACATCTCTTGGCTTCTCGACGTCATTTCCGCCTCTCTTTGACGGCAGATTTTCGTCTATGCCTCTACTCGTCTTAGCTCTTCTATGTACAGGCCTCTCTCTTCTCTCTCTCTCAATTAAACAGAATAGAAGTCTCTATCCCCTCCTGCTCCGTGTTTTTCTCTTTGCTAGCCTGGGCCCTTTTCACTTCCTCTTACTGCATCGGCCTCTCTAAGGGGAAATCGAGCTGTGCATCTCGCTTACGGGCCTCTCTCTCGCCCAATGACCGCACTCGGCCGTGCCAGGTTTGGTTTTTAAGCTTTTTCTCCTTCGGCTCACCAACAAGGCGGAACAAAGGCGGAACAAGGTCACGGGCAGATTGGTTGGCTAGGACGATGCCAGCAAGCGGCTAGCACTGCCCGGCAGAAGGTGCACGAATCAAATGGATGCATGTCACCCACGCAGCAGAGGACACCTGGACACCGAGCGAACGGCCAGTTTTCTATGACCTTCCATTTGTTTGGACCCTGTTTGCAGTGTTTGGGTCCTGTTTAGTGTTCAGTATTTAGTACTCAGTGAGTCAGTGCTATTCACGGACAGTCTGACTCGGCGGTCCACATATGAATCGAAGTCTGGACATCGGAGCTCAGACCGCGGAAGTTCCATTGAAAGTCACCATCAAATCGACTTGCATCAAGTTGCATGTTGCCCTCATGCTGCTTGAGCCGTCAAGCACGGTCAATGCCCGGCATCCGTATCGCGGTCAGACGCGTCGAGTCGTCTACTTCCCCGTTGCATTGACTAGTTAAGGCTGAGAACTTGAGGAGAACTCCATACAGCACTGTCAGCACAGCGCGTACTATGCAGTCTATGCTTGGATAAGCTCCTGGCAAAAGCCTCGTGACCATCGTCTGCCAATGCCATATGTCTTACTTTGCGAAAAGTAATGACAGATCTCGATCTTGATTATAGACCCCAGCATTTTCGCGCCAACTTGACAGGCATTCATCTCGATGCAATCATGCAAAGCGTTGACTGAAGACCGAGGCTGACTGAGGCTGACTCCATCGAATCATGGCTCTGAATGCACATTATGCCCTCCAATGAAGAGTATGGATGCTCGGCAACTTGGCAGCCGGTGGGACTGATCATGAAAATCCGGGGTAAAAGTGGCTGCGGAGATTTAATCCATCGAAAGCGATTCGTGAACGGAGTGGCCGTCATTGACTAAGCTATACTCTATAGATCCTGTAGACTGTATATAGTGACTAATCCAGCAAGCTTGCTCAAAGACATCCGGACAATCTCCAAGCAAAGGCCGAGGCCTCTCTGTGAGTCGGGCGAGTCAGAACGCTACTGATGGCAGCAATGAGATGCCAGGGTCTATTTCAGTGACAGCATCCTGGTCGTCTGTCATGGAGTCCATCCTCGATGCGTGACCCCATGATCAAGTGCGCTATTCTGGAGCTGAATCTGCTAACTTGCTCAGCTGCTATGGCAAGTCGGCAGCTGCCTTGGCCAGTTGAGTTGGCACCTTGGTAGACTCATGTCCCGATCGATGACATCTGACGGGACCACGGCACAGACAGATCCGACGGCACGATGGAGTGACGCAGTTTGATGGAAAGAGTACTCCTACTACTCCAGCTGAGTCCAGCATGGTAGGCCTAAGTCCATCTGCGCATAGACAACTTGGACTTGAGCTTCTCGAGCAGACCAGACGTAGGTTTCACAGTCACACCACTGACATCACTCACGGCTCTTGACCGTTTCCTTCCCTCATCCACCATATGGGCATTTGTAGTACCAACTTCTTGTCCGTCAGACATAGCCATCCCTGCACGCCCTGCACGCCCTTCTTCATTGCTTGCTGTCAATAGTCCTGCACCTTCGCCTTGAGGTGCACACGCACCCTGATCCAAAGCAGCGCCACCTCTCTGCACCCTCCCACTCGCCAACATCTCCTCCTCTGAATATTCACTCCGCTGCGATGATAAAGTCGAACTCGCACGACTCATGGCAGGCGATGCAGATTGTCCCGGTTTTCGACGTCCCATGACAGGTGACAAGCTCGTTGTTCGAACACTCACAAAGGGACTCGTGCGTGGTTGATCCATGTGCATAGTGGTATCCACACTGGGTTGTGGTAGTGAGCGGCCTTGATTGGAGGTGCGACGTGGTCGTTTCCCAGTGATACTACGGTATCGCATGCGCCCACGTTCGTCAGTATCGGAAGGAGGGTCGTCTATCGCGTACCAAGGATCCTTGCTCTTCCTAGTGAACATGGCCTCATGGATGCACAAGACAAAGTGTCAGGTTCTTGCGTCGTGGGTCAGTTATTTGAAGTGCCGTCAGGGGTATGGTATCGTGGCAATGTAGCAACATCAGGGGCCAGCGCAGGAGTCGCTCAATTCAGACGCAAGAAGACTTTGCAGAGACCGACTGTCTTGAGTCAGCCAAGGTAAAGACTCCTCGAGTGAGGAGAATGTATGTGAGTTTGAAGGACGACAATGCCATAGGTAGAGTCGAGACCTCCTTCACATGCTCAAAGAGCTCAATTGAGAGCATCACTCGTAGACACTTGCTTCAAGCCATAGGACTCAAGCAAGTCAGTCTCATGGATCTCTTATGCCGCCATCATTCCCGTTCACCAAAATGCCGTCTCCCTCTTCATTCCGTATTCAGTGGCACACTCGCCTTGCCCAAACCATCTAAACTGCTTGCAGTAAGCTGTCTGAAGTACAATCATACCCTGAATTCTTGAAAGGAACTGCACAAAGGCGGTTCAGCAACGTGGCTAAGAGGAAACACGGTAAGCTGTAACACTCAAAAGCCAGCAAAGCAAACTCGTAGAGAGGGATCCAAAGTGGGGAATCAGCGTTGGGACGATCCAGCAGGGACATCGAGACAAAGCGAGTCGAATGGGCGAAGGAGGGGAATCAAAAGGGTCTGCCTTGAGAGCGACACGAGCGCTGCCAAGCTATCATCCACAAGCGAGAGCGACACGAGCACTCCATCAAGCATCCACAAAGCCAAGGCGACACGAGCGCCCGGCGATTCGTTGTCCTAAGCGACGAGGTCCTAAGTGTCATAGGTGAATCGGCAGAGGTGATCAGCGAAGGGGAGGGGCTCTATTCCAAGTTCCAATGCAGAGGGGTTCGTTCAAAAGACAATCCAAAGCGGTCGTCCAGAATCGGCGAGGAGTGATCCATGTTGTCCAAGTTGCAAGCAAGGTGCGAAGAGTCAGACATCGGTCTAGCCTAGCGGTCATTGTCCATAGAGAGCGAACGGAAGGGTCGGGATTTCTTGAGGAAAGGCGAAAAGGCAAGCAATTAGCGAGTCTTGAGCGCGAGAGTGTTCATCGGCGAAGATCGGCCAGAGTGAGGAGCGTGAGGATGAGCGAGGGAGCGGGCGCAAAGCGCAATTTCGATTCAAGTCCCAAACGGGTCGAGGTTGTCATCAGCTCATTTCGAGTGAGAGGAGGCGGGTCGCCGGGTCGGCAGGTAAACGATGCGCACAGCAGGAGTGCGCTGTCTGTGCATTCATGGTGTGGTGTTGGGTGTTGGAGGAAGTTGGGGCGCCTGCTGCTTCTTATAGAAAATCCGGCGGCAGGTGACAAAGACGACATAGAAGAGACTTAGCACAGTCAACTCAGTCGACTCAGTCAAGAGACAAGGCCCATCATGAACCATCTGCTCAAGACATCCAGGCTGCTCCTGTCTAAGACACCAGCACTGCCAGCCCTCCTCTCGCAGTCCCGCGCCTTGTCCGATGCGACAAAGACCGCCATCGAGTCTGCCATCGCCGCATCCCCCGTCGTCCTCTTCATGAAGGGCACACCCGAGCAGCCCATGTGCGGCTTCTCCCGTGCGACTATCCAGATCCTCGGTCTTCAGGGAGTCGACCCAAAGAAGCTGTCTGCCTTCAATGTCCTCGAAGACCAGGAGCTGCGCGAAGGCATCAAGGAGTTCAGCGAGTGGCCGACCATTCCACAGCTATACGTCAACAAGGAGTTTGTCGGAGGCTGTGATATCCTCGTTGGTATGCACCAGAGGTAAGTGCTTCCTTCTGTCTGGCATTGTATCTAACACATCCTCAGTGGCGAACTAGAGACCTTTTTGGAGAAGGCCGATGTGCTTGTACCGCCAGTCTCTGCCACAGACGCAGACGGTGCACGGCCGCCTCAGGGAGCATGATGTGGTCCGCTCAATAATGCATCATACATTCATCCCATCACTCACAGGCTTTTCCTGCTTCTCAGCCAGCTTAATGCCGCGCGTCTGCATGGTGATGCCCTCCACATCGAGTGTAAAGGCGCCTTGCTTGAGCGTGTTGAGATCCTTCCGCATGCTGTATGCATCCTCCCCGTCTTGATAGTACTTCTTTTCAGTGTCAATCACCTCAAACTTGAGTGTATCCCTGTACAAGTGCAACGCCGCTCGATTGGATCGCCGAACATGCAAAGAACAATACCGCGCATCATAGTTCTGTACCATGCTCATCTGTGCTTGTCGCATCAGCTTGTCTGCCAGGCCCAACCGACGATACGTTCGCATGACAGAAAGTGACGTGATGTGGCCGTGTGGTGTCGCTGAGGGCTCATCCTCCATCTTGGCAAGCACATAGCCGATAATACGACCTCTTGCATCGGTCGCCACGTAGGATAGATTCGGCCAGGTGAGACCATGATAGAGGTAGTACTTCATTTGATAATTTTCCGGCAAGTTGGACAGGTTTGCATGTTGCTAAGGTGAGCGTCATTCAGTAAGCGTGCAAGACAGAGCATACCATGCCTGCCAGGTCTTCGATCGTCGCAGGCCTGATATCCATGCTGGATGGCTACACTGTCGGGTGTCTCTGTCTGGTTGTGCGCGCTACAAATTTGACTTGCGACTCAACTTGCGCAGATTCAGGAACAAGCAGGCACTGACCAGCATACAGAGACTCATTAACTACGCAGCCAGGATACATCATGTACAAGCAGTACCTCATTTCTTCCGCTGTGACCGTCGTACACCCTCAGCAGGCTCAATAGACGGCTGCCGAGTCTGCCCTGCCGACTTGGTCGGAGCAGCAGCGCTCTTCACCTTGACACTGCTCTTCATACTCGCTTCTGCAATAGCCGCATCATCCGGGGTTGCGCCTCTCGTTGAGCGTGAAGATCGACGAATCACCACACGCGGCTTGAAATGTTTTCGTGGTCCAGGAACAGGGCCTTCATGATGCGAGTCATCGTGTTCTGCCAATATGCTCAAGTCATGCCCGTCATCGACATACTCGGCGCCATCTCGCAAACGGTGTACAATCACAGGCACAGGCGATGTCGGGGCCAAGGCGTGCGTGTGCAAAATCTCCTCGGGATTGTCGACTGGCGGTGGCGTTTGCAAGCGCTCGACTGACTCCTCATCATCCATCCGCTCGTTTGCTTCTGGCTCTTCCTCGATGGCGTCCACTGGCCTGCCTGCTTCTGGCTCTTCCTCGATAGCGGCCATGCCACTTGGCTGATGCGCCACAACAGCAGTCTCGAACGTTCTCGATGATTCTGTACTGGTAGCCCCTTGCGCTTCATTTTCAATAGGCCCTTCGGACTTAGGGCTCGTGACCCTGTCGGCGTCATCCTTTTCAGTGACATCGATCCTGCTTACATCGCTCAGCGCATCAGCAGCTTGAGACGCTGCCTCCGCTGACTCGTCGTTGTCATTCGTTCTGGCAGGTGTATTTTGTACACTCGCTTGATCAGGTAAATCGGCATCCGACTCTACTGGCGTTTCAGCAGTAGAAGGCTCGTCCTCACCACCAACTCGCTCTGTCTCATCGTGCTCGGACGCTGCTTCAGCGACAAAGTCTGCTAAATCACCTTGAAGAGACGCAGAGTCCGATTCAGGTTCAGCTTGACTTTCAGAGGCGTCATCGTCGCCAGCCTCCAGAACCAAATCGTCCGGAATGATGGACGCAAGTGGCTCAGCGGGAGCAGGCGACTCTGCCAAGGTTTCTTCAGTAGCTGGCAAGACAAGACTTGCATCTCTTTCATCTCTCTGCGACGTTTGAACAGGTGTTGCATCCAGCAAGGCCAAATACTCCGCCTCCTCGTCAAAAATGGCGGCTTCAGCTTGACTCATGGGAGCTAGCTCACGACCGGCTTGATCTTCAACAAGCTTATCTTGCACAGAGATGACTTGCTCTGCAGACCGTGCGACGTGAAAGCCTTTTTCTGTAGCATCGACAATGTGTGAGAGATCTTCAATGATTGGCTCTGCTGGAGCAGCAGCAGTCGTGGTCTCTTCAACAGAGTGATGCATCGGCGCATTTGCCACGGCATGCTCTGTGGGTGAGACTACTTCTTGATCACTCTGTAGCAGAGCGTTCGCATTCCCCTGAACCACAGCAGCTTCTTGCTCAGGGACGGCCGTCATTGGCTCTTCCGGAATAGCCTCGGCCATTTTATCTTGACTGTCAACGACTTCTTCAGCAGCCTCATTGAGGTTTGGCACCAATTCCATACCAGCAGCAGTATTGATCACACTCTCACCGAATAATGCAGGCGGTGTAGCCTCCAAGTCATGAGTCTCGCCCGAGTCTCGAGGCGAACAAACAGGAGAGTCGGCGACTGGGCTCAGCGCGAATACTGGCGCATGTAGAGCATGATGATCTGTGTCCAGAAGAGGCCGTTTTGTGGCGTCAGACCTTTTGCGAGGCGGTAGGCCACGAACGCTTGATTCATTTGCATACAGTGCACCATCGACAGACTCCCTTGGTGCATCTGACGATCTCCGCGACACGGTCTGATCACCTGCAATAGGAAGTTTGAACGGTTGAGTCACCAAGAGATCGATGGGTCTCTGCTGTTCGAGCTGACTGAGACGGCGCGCACGATCCATTTCCTGAAAGAGCATCTCCTCGACAGAAACGTCTGCCGCGGCCACCGGTGAGTCTTCTATGACGGTAGGCTCCAAGTAGACAGGGGCTTGAGTCGTCGTGTCAATCGTGAAAGACTCATCGTGTCTTGGAGATCGCAGAGTGTTCAGGTCTTGCTCACTCAATTCGTCGCCGCGCTCCAAGAGCACATCAATAGGCACATGATCTTCTTCCGGCTCGTTATCATAGCGATCCTCTTCGTTGTTCAATTCAGCCGAACTGGCTTCAACCGCTTCATCGTCGTCGTCAAAGACTGGAATGAGCTCTTCTGGCACGGCGTCCGAAGCTTCTGCACTAGATTGTTCAGCAAGCTCGTCAAACAGTACGCGAGAATTTTCCTGCGGCAAGTCATTTGTAGTGAGGATGTCGTCGGGTTGAGCTTGCACGATGACGGGGCCCTCGAGTTCTGGATCGATGGCGACTTCAGTATCTTCTGCGAATGTCACTGATGCACCGCTCTGTTCATCAACAGAGACAGCTTCTTCATACTCGGCCAATGACGCCTCATCGTCCCGGTCGAAAATGTCAATATCTTCTTCAAATTCCGCTTCATGGTCTGCAGCAGACTCACGACGGAAGCTGTGGCGAATGTCGTCGTCAGCCGAGGATAGGATTTCCAGAGGCTGTGCGACCTGGGGCGGATCATAGTCTTCGCTTTCTTCGTCGTACTCGTCATCGTAATCGTCGTGCTCGGTTGCTGGCAATTGATCACCAGTAAGAGCTAATTCGTCTGCCGAGTACTCACTGTAGTCTCCCTCTTCCTCGTCGTTTTCCAATAGATCACCTTCGGATACGTCTTCTTGGCCAGAGATTTCGTCGTCGTCGAACGAGCCTTCTGAATCACTCTGATTAGTATCCGTTTGCAGCTTGGCTCCTGGTAACCGTTTCGCAGCTACAGGCCGCTGAGCTTCCTCAATGGCACGGTCAAGCGCCGCTTCAACAGCCTCTTCCTTCTCTTTCAAAAGCTTCTCCAACAACGCTTGCTTCTCCAGCAGCTTCTTCTCCCTGTCTGCTTGCCATTGCCGTTCTCTTGCCAGTGCAGCATCTGCCTCTTCATTCTCTTGAAGCGCCCGTGTCGCTTTATATTTGATATCTTGTACAAATTGTGTAAATGCCTGCGCTGGGAATGTCTCAAAAGCACTAGGGCTTGCTGGTACACGCGGTGAAGCAAGCGATAGAGTTGTTGTATTGGTGAGCGGTAGATCGCCGCCATTTGTCCTGGCACGTTTAGGGACTGGCGTAGTATAGGTATGCTCGAAGGCCCTCTTATTCATGCTGCGTAGAGAGCTATATGGCCATGGCACAGGGTGCGCGACTTGGTGTAGCAACTGGATGTCGTCGTCGCAAATCAAACGCGGAGGTCAAGAGAGTCAAGAGGACATTTTGTAGGCAAGTTGTTGCTAAGGGTCTGAGCTTGATTAAGTAGATTAATAGTACAAGTACATCAAGAGTACAGCCAAGAAGGAGGAGCACTCAGTCAAAGACCGCCAGCGAATCCATGATGACATCCAGCTCGCGATACACTTTGGCTCTAGCAAACGCCTCGACATCGCGCTGCAGACTGATCACGAGCTTGCGCACCTTGTAGTCAAACTTCTCGAGTGGCTCCTTGACTTGTGGGCTATCGTCGTAGATAGCCGGATTGACGCCAGTCTCTACCGCAAAGCCTCTCAGGCGTTCGAACTCATGCATCACCCGTAAATGAACTTCCTCCAGGAGTTCTAGCAGCATGACGGCCGCATCCAGATAGCTTGGAATGAAAGGTACATGCGATAGATGGAGCGCAGTGTAGTCTGCCGCCAAACGCGACAAGACTTGCTTGCGGCCCTTCTCCTTCCTGACGAGTCGTGATGGGTGAATTGCAGATGCCGCTGGTTCTCGTGAAGCGTAGTGATCGAGTTCCGCAAACAGGATATTGGCGGCACGGACAAAGTCGATGCCATGGCAATTGCGCTTCTCCAGGAGGGCGCCTAGACTTGCGCCGCAAACATGATAGAGCTGCGCTTTGCGGTTGATGTCGACGTCTGGCGGCTGCAAAGATGCAAGAAAATCGCTGCGAGTGAAGAGGATATTGCCTTGCCAGAGATCTTTGCCCTGCAGGCTGTCGGAGAGTAGATGTAATCTATCAATGCGTGGTTGGTATTGGAGCTTCATCGATGTGCTAGGGTCGGATGGCTGGAGTCTAGGAAACCTTCATGCGACACAAGACAGAGTGAGATATAGAGAGTGAGCGCAAGAGCAGGATCCTCTAGAAGCAGCTGTGGACTCGCGACAGGCGCATCGATATGTGCAGCTGGTGTCTGGTCTGCGTTGCCAAATTCGCGACTTTCATCTTCTCACCAGACACGAGGACTCGCAGTGGACATTGCCACCAGTTGCTAGACAAGGCGGCCTGGGCAGATCCGTAGCACGAGTCAGCCATGGATGGAGCAGCGCTTCAGCATCGTACGCAGACTAGTCATTCAGCATAAACACTAATTGTGCAGCACTATGAAGAGACGCATGTCACGGTCACGCCCATTCGCCAAGTTGCGCGTGCGGCCGTAGCATCTTCCCTCTTTGGAAGTGTCAAGCTTTTCGTCTATGCAGAGGTGCTGATACCCTACGGCCATATACTATTTGCCTTTGCACAAGAAGACGCTGCCAAGACACGTAAGATTGTTGCTCTCGAACGTCTGGAAGAGACGCTATATGGACTGCTGCAGGTAGAACGCTTACCTCTCAAGGAGATTGAGGCTCTATCGGAGTTATCTGCACATTCTGTCCAGGTAACGCCCGTTGAGACGGACGACTGGTGGCAGGCTGTACTTGCCAATGACGAGGATGAGATTCATGATGAGCTCACGTTTGATCTTGGTCCTCAGCCGTTGCAAGAGTCTCCAATTAAGGACAGTGGAGAGACGATAGAGGTCTTCCTACAATCCATCAACTCGGTGTACTTCACCACATTGTACGAGAGCAAAGCCCCTCTTGTCTTCTTTGCCAAATCGAGCCTCCCGCGACTCCGCAAGACGATGCTCAGTCGTGGTTTCCAAGAGCAGATTGTGCTAGCGCATATCCTCGAACACATCTTCCCCACAGATGCTGACTTTGATGCCAAGTACAAAGCATTCATCCCGACGTTTGTCAAGGGCGAGATGGTGGGCCTCCCGTTCCAATACGACACAACCTGTCTCAAAGACGGCGAATTGGCCCACATTCAAGCCTGGCTCGATGCTTGTATCGAATCTACAGCTCAACCACGCCCAGACACAGTCCTCTCCACATCGCTGACCCCTCTCAAAACACGCGAAGCTCAACTCATGGTCATCTTGCTTCTTGAATTGCTCACATTTGACCAAGCCAGCAAAGCCATAGAGCTACGTATTGACATGCTGTTGGATCGCCTAGCCATCTGGCAAACAGTCAATTTCACACAAGACGACCTTCTCAAGAGTTTCTGCTTGGAGGTGATATTGCCATACTACGCGCTACGTTTGCCTGAGGTCACAACAGCCATTCAACTCAAATGTGTCCCACAAGATTTACTCGCCTTTGAACCTCCACCAACGCCGGCAAAGATCAAGAAGCGTGTTCGCGCAACAGTCAAGAGCAATGCGGCGGTTTCCCTCAAACGCACCATTTCTGCACCAGCGAATTTGTTGAGTGAGAAGAAGACTGTTCCCAAGAAACGCAGTCTTGGGCGTGAAGTCAGTATGACGAAGAAAATACCAAACTTTGAGCTAGCCAAGTCTTCCAAGACTGCACCGAAGCGTGGCTTGTCTTTTGAGGAAAGACGCAAACAGCGAGTCGAGCAGGAAGAACGTGAACGGATTCAAGTGGATGCGACACCTGCAAAACCACGACCACACGGCATGGCGATGCCAAATGATCATGATGAGGCTGTTGCGCTACTGGCTGCACAATTTGTCGCACAGCGCGAATCGAAGGCGAGCTTTATGTCTGTTGTTGAGACACCTAGCAAAGGTTCTACCATTCGACCACCTCCAGGTGCAGCAGTGGGCGAAACACCCCTTGCTGGTCTGAAGACACCGACGCGTGGGTCTCATATTGCACGCACGCCGGTACGAGATCGTGTGTTACTGGACACGCCGACGAGGGGTTCTGCACCACTATTCAATATTGCTTCTCCAACCTTGCCTCCTCCACGACCAAAGAATTTATTCAGTGATAGCGGCCAAAAGAAACGGTCGCATGGCGAAATGCGTGGTGCCCCAAGTCTTCAAAAGACCGTCTCTTTGCCGACCATGACAACACACGCTTCGCCGTTCATGGTTGAGCAAATAGAGGAAGAAGGTGATACCGTGGCGGCAGCATCACCGGTGGGCAAATCAGGTCACGATGCAGTAGAAGAAAAGGCAACTAAGTTGCAGGAAGTGCTCGACTGGTTATAGTCAATGAATATTATGATGAATGCTTCATGCATTGAAGAGATTAATTGGGTCCAGCCCAAATGCGGCGTCAGGCTTACATGACTGAGCATGAGAGTCCTTGAGCAAACCGTTCAAAGATGGTACTCATCTCGAGTTGTTGTGCTGACTGTTGCTGCACCCATGAGCGAACCGCGATTTCTTTCCGAAGGTTTTGCTGTCCATCAAGCCGTGGACTCGGCGATCGTGAGAGAGGTGGCCGAGCAGGTCTGAGATGCCCGACGTAGGATGGCGTCGATTGAGTCGAGGATTGTCTAGCAAGACGACGCGCCGTCGCTCGCCTGATAAATGCAACGCTCTCTGATGATGTGGCTCGCGACGAGTACGAGCGAAGAGAGCGAGTACTGCTGACATCGGATGACATATCTGTGAGCATGCCCTCGAATCAATTACGATGTACTGGAGAGGCCAAAGAGGTTGCTTTTGTACTAGTTCGTGCCCAGCCCCTGAGGACACATGGTCCGAGCGACTTCTGTGACCATGTCCCACCCTATTTGAAACAAGATTGTGCGGTATGAAAAGCCTTGAAGTGTAGAGAGCAAATGTTTGGGAATTGTCCGTTGGCGGTGTTTCGCAAAGAGCGGCTGATTGTGAAGCATACAGTGCACTGGGTCGCTAGGTAGCACACCAAGATGGGATGTTTGTGCCCGGAGCAGGCGGCCAACTTGCAACATTGCACAGGACAAAGGGTGTAGTACACATTGCCCTAAAGAGGAAACGTCGGGCCGATTCATGCTAGCGACTATCGTTAGTGTTGGTGCAGAGACTGCCTGCTCTGTTGATCTGCACATCGTCGATGGTCAATTTCAGATATCTGTACTTGTCTTGACCTCATTGAGAAGAACACCAGCCAAACCAACCCTGACCCAAGCCTCGTCAGACATAGCTTGAGTATCAATGTCCATGACTGCCTTGTAGATCGTCATCTCACGAACACTTCGCCGAAAACACACTTAGAGTGTGTGCTCGGATAGCAGAGATGAGACTCCGTTCAGTCACAGCCCAGCAAGTCTTTCGAGAGCGGGTCTGTTTCAAGCCCAAGGAGAAGAGCGGAGCCAGCTTCTGGAAAGTTGAACAAAAGCGGCTCATCACTCAGTTGGGCAGAGTGTGCTTTGAATGATGGGCATGGGCGCGGTATGACTTGTCTGATGTCCTCTGATACGATGGTATCTCGGACCTTTTACCGTGTGTTCGTCATGTGATTCGACAAGGAGATGTCCAGAGCAGGGTTGGTACTTGAGCTTACCTCGTTGTTGTAGAGGTTTCACAGAGAGAAGCAAGTAAAGCTTGTGAGCATGAGTATATATTGCTTCAGAGTAGACGGAGGAGCAGGCCCTTTATTTGAGCACAGCCAAGCAGCTCCAGCAAATAGAATACGCATTCAGCCCAGCAGCACAAGTAGTACTCGGTGAACAGTGCAAGTAGCAGCCAGTAGCAAGTCGCAGCCTCAGACCATTCGACAGTTGACGTCACGTGTAGCCAAAATCTCAGAACTGGCGACCAAAAAGCGAGGACGAGCTTGACCTCCCATCTATCTATCTATCTATCTATCTACAGTTGCTATGACTGAGCTGCATACCATGTCAGATGCTGAGGATGTCCTGAGACCGCTTGACAATGAGGAGGAAGACCCACAGGCAGAGCTGGCTAAGATGAAGGCCCATGTTGCAGCAATGGAGGCAGAGGCCGCCAAGTTGCGCGAGATGCAGACACAGCTAGACAATGAGAACGCCGAGCTCGCAGAGTCAAAGGAGGATGTGGATGGCCGGTCAGTTTACGTGGGTAATGTGGACTATGGAGCGACACCAGAAGAGATACAAGCGCACTTTGCGTCGTGTGGACAAATTAATCGCATCACAATCCTATGTGACAAGTTCACAGGGCATCCCAAGGGTTTCGCCTATGTCGAATTTGCAGAGCCGGCACTCGTTGCACAGGCTTTGGTACTGAATGAGTCTGAGTTCCGCGGGCGGGCGCTCAAAGTAACACCGAAGCGGACAAATGTACCCTTTATGGGTGCGCGAGGCGGTCGCGGTGGACGAGGAGGCAGAGGCGGTCGTGGTGGTAGAGGCTATGCGCCGAGAGGGCGTGGTGGGTATCGTGGAGGGTACCGGGGAGGTCGTGGAGGGGCGCCGTACTAGAGGCCTGCTTCGCCCGGATGGGCCTACCGCAGTCTGGACTGTTATCTATACTCTCTATAGCTCAGACTACTGGTCAGACCCTTTCATAGCATGCTGCCCTTGTCCTAGGCCTTTCTATACCTTTCCTCTTCCTTTTTGACATTTTCGCAGGGGAGCGACGACGACGACGACGACCAACAGCGACAACGCACAACGGAGACCAAGACCCAAGACCAGCTTCAACCCTTCATCCTCACCCCGTTCTTGGGCGAGTAGCGTCTCCGATCTTTGCTGCCAAGTTCAACTAGCATCCTCTTTCTTCCTGGGACTTTGGCCATCACTGATCAAGCCGCGCACCTCCAATTGACGACAGGCCAGCATCCGATCCACACCGATCTCTAGGCATTCGTCTGTATATCGAGCACTGAGAAGAAGCGCATTGCTTGCATAGGACCATGTCGTCTTCAGAATCGCGCAAAATCAAGCTCACCGTCATTGCCGGTACGCCACATGCTCCCATCCTCCAAGGCAAAAGACTAATACCTACTTATAGCGGATGGCTTGTACAAGAGAGACCTTTTGCGGCTGCCAGACCCATTTGCAGTAGTGACGGTCGATGGCGAACAGACGCATACGACTTCCGTCATCAAGAAGACCGTCAACCCGTACTGGAACGAGCCCTTTGAAGTGTATGTTCGGTCTCGCTTTGTCACAAGGCTTGATGCTAACCTTGTCTTTCTTTAGCACCGTCACGCCCTCCAGCATCATTGCCGTCCAGGTCTTTGACCAAAAGAAATTCAAGAAGAAGGACCAAGGCTTCCTGGGCGTCATCAACCTCCGCGTTGGCGATGCCCTTGATCTCTCCCTCTCTGGCGATGGTAAGCTCGTTTTTGCAGCATAATCAAGAGACTAATGATTCTAGAAATGCTCACCCGCGACCTCAAAAAGTCAACAGACAACCTCGTCGTCCAGGGCAAGCTCATTGTCAACCTCTCCACCACCATCAGCAACGCACCAGCCCGCACAAACGGCGCTGCCGCCTCCGCCAGTCCTCATGGGTCGAGTGCAGCACTCAACAACATGGCCGGCATGCAAGCCGCACTCCCCAACGGCGGTGCTAATCCACCAGCGGCATCTGCCGCATCGGCCGCTAATGGCGGGACATACAGCTCATTTGAAGATCATCTGGGTCGATTGCCAACAGGATGGGAACGACGAACGGACAATTTGGGCCGAACGTACTATGTGGATCACAATACGCGAACGACAACCTGGACGCGCCCTAGCTCCAGCCAGCCTGAGGCGGAACGCACAGCGCAAGCGAATACAACAACGGATATTGAACGACAGCGATTGAATGCACGCACGCTGCCTGAAGACCGTGCTGGGACTTCCTCACCGACACCTGCTGCGACAACGGCTCCTCCTGCCTCCGCTTCTGCGCCTGCTGCTTCCACTGAACCAACAGTTGCCGGCATGGGCAATGCGACGAGTGCAGGGTCCGGTGAGATGCCTGCTGGTTGGGAACAACGATACACACCAGAGGGACGCATGTACTACGTTGACCACAACACGCGCACTACGACTTGGGTGGATCCACGCAGGCAGCAGTATATTCGCATGTATGGACAAAATGCAGGTGCTAGCGGAACCGTCCTTCAGCAACCCGTCTCACAACTTGGGCCATTGCCCTCTGGATGGGAGATGCGGCTCACCAACTCTGCACGGGTATACTTTGTTGATCACAATACAAAGACGACGACATGGGATGATCCGCGGTTGCCGTCATCCATGGATCCAAATGTGCCACAGTACAAGCGTGATTTCAGGCGAAAGTTGATTTACTTCCGTTCGCAGCCTGCATTGCGACCACTCCCTGGACAGTGCCACATCAAGGTTCGCCGCGACCACATCTTTGAGGACTCGTATGCCGAGATAATGAGGCAATCCTCGGGTGACCTGAAGAAGCGACTCATGATTAAGTTTGAGGGAGAGGATGGACTCGACTACGGCGGTTTGTCTCGCGAGTTTTTCTTTTTGCTCTCTCATGAAATGTTCAACCCCTTCTATTGCTTATTTGAGTACTCGGCCGTGGATAACTACACACTTCAGATGAACCCGCATTCAGGCATTAACCCAGAACATCTCAACTACTTCAAATTTATCGGTCGAGTTTTGGGTCTTTCCATCTTTCACCGGCGGTTCGTGGATGCGTTTTTCGTCGTGTCGTTTTACAAGATGATTCTCAACAAAAAGTGTACACTTGCAGACATGGAGTCGATTGACGCCGAGTTCTTCCGCTCATTGACGTGGATGCTCGAGAACTCCATCGATGGTATCTTGGACCTCACCTTCTCAACAGAAGACGACCGGTTCGGTGAAGTCGTCACGCTTGACTTGAAGCCAGATGGACAGAGTATTGAGGTGACAGACGAGAATAAGAGCGAATACGTCGAGCTCGTCACTGAATGGCGTATCCAGAAGCGCATTGAAGAACAATTCAACGCCTTCAAAGCGGGCTTCCATGAGCTCGTGCCACAAGAACTCATCAATGTCTTTGATGAGCGTGAGCTTGAGCTGCTGATTGGTGGTATTGCAGATATGGATGTCGATGACTGGAAGAAGCACACAGACTACCGAGGCTACACTGAAACAGACGACGTGGTGCAGTGGTTCTTCAAGCTCATCAACACCTGGGACAATGAAAAGCGCGCTCGTCTGTTGCAATTTGCTACGGGAACATCACGTATTCCAATCGGTGGATTCAAGGATTTGCAAGGTAGTGATGGTCCAAGACGCTTTACGATTGAAAAGTCGGGTGAAACAACACAATTGCCCAAAGCGCATACTTGCTTCAACCGAATCGATTTGCCTCCTTACTCAAGCTACGAAGAGTTGGAGAAGAAGCTGTCGTTTTCGGTGGACGAGTCGATTGGATTTGGTGTCGAGTGATGTGGGAAGTGTGTGTGCGTGTGTGGTGTCGCAAGCGTGATGCCGACTATGGTGGTTTCGAACTTTGCACGTTCTTTTTGCTGGGTTTCTCTTTGTTATACAGTTGTCGAGTCTTGTTCTTTCTCTGTCCATGGGTGAGTGATGCTCGAGTCCTTTGGATTGTGGCACGGTCGAGGATACGACGTGTCATCTGAAAATGCACATCAGTCGCGCTTGATCATGATGGTAACGGATGCTCTGTGACGCGTTCCAGACCTTGTGCATGCATCGAGAACGCTGATTGACATTGGAACGGACTCTATGACATTCACTCAGTCAATAGTCTGCAGTTGACGCGTCCAGCCGATCAGCTGCATTGGCACGGTCAAATCCCCGCTGCATGAATTTGATGCCAGGAGACAAGGGGTAGCCGCAGCAGAACACACCACAGAAGAGTACATAGACCGCAGAACACCTCGTAAACCTTCCTTAGCCCTTCTACAACGGTACGGCATAGACCTACGCATCACCTGCTACACAGACCAGGTTTCTTTGTTTCATCTTTGGCACCTCACACTCCCCTGCGACTCCTCTAGCGACCCTTGTACGACCATGCGTCCGTGCATCCTCTTGAGCCTCGTGACGGCACTTGCACTAGAAGCTCAAGCAGCCTACAATCGGGCCTCTTCTGATAATATAGTCATCTACTGGGGTATGCATCTTCATCCAAGTCACGGCCCACAGTGCTAACCACGATCGCAGGACAAACAGGCGGAGGCAATCAAACATCACTTGCAACCACTTGTGCTTCCTCTGGCGCTGATATTGTTGTCCTTTCCTTCCTCACAACCTTCTTTGGACCCGGCGGCTTACCTGTCCTCAACTTTGCCTCCCACTGCAGCGAACAATTTCCGGGCACCAACTTGCTCAAGTGTGATGCCATTGCCAGGGGAATCCAAACTTGTCAGGACCTTGGCGTTCTTGTCTTGCTGTCTCTCGGCGGTGCTGTAGCGAATGTTGGCTTCTCCAGCGTTGCGCAAGCAAGCGGATTTGCTGACACCCTCTGGGACCTCTTTGGTGGCGGTAGCTCCAATACACGTCCTTTTGGAACGGTCGTCTTGAATGGCTTTGACCTGGATATTGAGCATGGCTCGCCTGAGCATTACACGGCCCTAGTCACGCAATTGCAACGCCATTTCCAGCAGAGTGGGAGGACATACTACATGGCAGCCGCACCACAATGTCCATTTCCAGATGCGACTCTCGGAAAAGTACTGGATGAAGCACCCTTTGATTTTGTCTTTGTTCAGCACTACAACAACCCTAGCTGTGCGATTCCAGCAGGTCAAGGTTTCAATGCAGGTACTTGGCAGACGTGGGCCAAGACGGCACCCAATACCAATGTCCAGCTCTTCGTGGGTGTACCTGCTGCGCCTGCTGCCGCCGGATCAGGCTATGTCGATGCAGCAGCTATTTCAACCGCAATGCAGCAAATCAAGTCGCAATTTGGCGAGACGCGACTTGGCGGCGTCATGTTTTGGGATGCCTCCTTCTTGAGTGGCAGAGAGAATGTCGCAACCGCCGTCAAGGCAAAGCTGGGAAGTGCACCAGCTGGTCCGCCTCAAGCTGATAATGTTGCCGCTGCAATAGCGACTCCTCCACCAGCTGTGCCTATCGTGCCTCCATCTAGTACAGCTCCTGTCACAACATTTGTCTACGTTGCAGGCATCGGCCCAGAAGCAAGTCCCCAAGCAGCTTTACAGCAAGCTAGCTGGGGCGATGGTGACGGCGCACCTTGTCAAATTGAAGGACAAATGCAGTGTCGTCCAACTGGCGCATTCGCTACATGCGATCATGGTGCTTGGGTCATTCGAGCGTGTGCGCCCGGTACGGCATGCAGACCCGCTGGTGATAGTATTGTTTGTGATTATGCAGGGGCACCGTCAAGAAACAGGAGAAAGCGAGCTGGACAGTATATGCATGAGCATGAGCACTTGCTCAGAAGGACATGAGCGATGGTTTTTGGCAGTCTTAGGTATGTAGATTACTTGTAGACAATGTAGAGTATTTTGACGTGTAGCGATCGCCAGTTGTAGGATCATCCCGCGCCAAATGCAATCGCCAGGAATGACGAGGTGCTCCAGCATCGACGTCGCATTGATGTTGCTAGAAAGAGACAGGAGACAGCATAGGGTGTAGATATCCAGTCTGACCCTCTGAATGTCCTTGTCCCTCTAAACAACAGCTGCATGGCCTGTCTATTTGGCCTCTAGTGCCTGATGCGAGGTGATCAGCTGATAAGAAGGCGACTCGGCTCCGCAATCCCCACACTGGCAGGCAACGACGAGAGACAGCAGAGCAGCAGCCGGGGAGAGGGGGCCCAGAGCTGGGTATAAGTAGGGGAGCACGGCCCAGTATGTGACCATCACCCAAGTACTCACAAGAGTCACTTTCTAGATAGCAATCAGGAACAGCCCTTCTACACATACAATCAATCATGACCAGGGTATGCAGCCTTCTATCTCTGTCGCCCGGCATCTGCTGACGCGTCCTCCCCCAGTCTATCCGCGAAGCAGCAGATCTTCCAAAGCACAGTGACGGCAAGGGTCACATCTTGGACCCTCATGTGACCCAGAAGAAGCAGGGATCCGGCTCTGGTAAGTCTTGCGCTCTGCAATCGCAAACGCATATGCTCACACGACCACAGGCAATTGGGGACGACCTGAAGATGACATTACAGACCTGCAAGAGTTTTCCATGCTCAAGACACGACGTCGCTCCAACTCGCAGTCTCAGAATTCTGAGCGAGAAAAGATGGCCACCAAGTTTGAGAAGGAGGACTTTGAGGATGAGGTCTTTCACTAGACGGCACAACAAGCAGCATTTCATGTCCATCGCGCTGAGCTGCTATGATTATCACGACACGCACAGGATTGTTGTCTCTGCAGCAAGCAAGACATTCATACTCAATCAATCCTGACTTTATCAAGCGTGCTATTGTGTGCTGAAGCTACGTGAATGAACACTTCTGATCTTGTACATACCACGAGACACGCTCGACAGCCTCTGTCTGCAATTGCATGAAGCGAGCGAATCCTTGCCACAGCCGCATCTTACATTGCAGTAGCGTCAAGCCTCTTCTGCCAGTGCTCATGCGATGTCGTCTGTTATACCTCAAATGCGTCAGATCCAGTCTCTATCCTGTCGCGGGAGCATTAGAAGGAGAGTCTACCTGCAATTTGTTGAGCCTGGTGCGATCACACTACACTGAGAGCTAACATGATAGCGCTGGAAAGAGAGGATGGCACTACGGAGTGGGTTGAACTCAAACCTCAAGGAGCAGTTTTAGATGGTCCCGTAGAGTCACGAAGGTTTTGGAAGGCGGTCATCCACCGTCTCGATGATTGCTCAGCATAAACTCTGTGCCGATGTCAAGGAGACAGGTGGAGACCTGCGTTTCGTGTGCACAATGGCACGGTGTAGGGATTCATTCAACACATCATCAGACCATTACGCCAGGGCTTGAAGGAACCTCAGACTAGCAGTGCAGTGTAAGCAATACTTGACTTCAGGCAGCAGCGGCTATTCTGCAGATGACGATGCGTATCGTCTGGACAAAGCGCGGCAGTACTCTACCGGTGTACACAGTACAGCGTCCACCGAATGCGGTTCAGCTGCAGACAAAGCGCCCAGCCACCGTGCGCTGAAAATTATCCGTGCACCTCCTTTGCTCATTCAGATGCGCCAGAACTCCTTTGCCCGGCTCATCGGCCGTGTGCCCGTCCACAGCATCGGCCTCCTTGGCGTGTCTCAACGGGTCTCGAGTCATGTCTCTCGTCGCGGCAGATGGCAATTACAGCTTCTGACAGCGTCGAAAGCGGGCACAGCCTAAAAATGCCTTTATACCTGCTTCCCTGCTAGCCAAACGTTCCTTTGTTCCTCAAACACTTCTTCACCCTGACGCGTTTGGAGTCACCTCTGCAGCTACTTCGTCAGCCTGCTCCATCGCGTTTCTGCTCTGCTTCTGCTCCTGCCTATAAACGATCTGCTATCAATGCACCTGTCTTGCTAGCCGCTAGTCTTCCATGGAAAGAGCTGATGAGACTGCCAAGTACTTGGCGACTGCCGCTTTCCGCAGTCGACAAGTGGCAGTCGTGCTATGGGTGGTCTATCTCATATTGATTGTTGTTGTACGGCTCGTGTCGCTCGTCGTGCAGTATCACTGTCGCTCGAACATACCCCTTGCGCTTGCCTGCACAGGCACGCACACACGCTGGCTTTCACAACGTGTTCTACATACACGACTAGCGCGTTTCACTTATCACCTCCCGATCTTCTCGGTAGCCAATATTCCCACGTATGGTGAAAGTGCAGTCATTGGCGCGTACCTTGCGGCCAACATATTGGCCTGCAGCGTGGGTTACACAGGCTACACGAACCAATCTGCCCTTCGCAAAGCAGTAGCCATGCGTACAGGGACACTGGCCTTTGCCAACTACCCGCTGCTCGTTGGGCTAGTCGGTCGTAATGTGGCGATTGCTCGCTTGACTGGTGTCTCTCGTGCTTCTCTGCGTACGCTACATCGCTGGTCAGGCAGACTCGTGGCCATCTTCTCTTTGGCACATACCATTGCCTATCTCTCTGTCTATCATGCATCAGCAACTCCTTCTCGATCATTCACCAGCATCCTGCAGCATTGTTGGGAGGCACGCTTCTTTAGAGCTGGCGCAGTGGCGATGATCGCTGCAAGTATTCTTTTGTTCGGTTCCTGGCATGTTCTTCGCCAACGATGCTACGAGTTGTTCCTTACGTTGCATATTCTCTCGGCAGTAGTGTTGCTCTTTGCGAGTTTGCTCCATGAACGCTGGAGCAGCAATGCAACCTCTGTCATTATTTGGGTCTACCTCGGTCTTGGCCTCTGGGCACTCGACTATTTCAATCGTGGTCTCAACATGCTCTACTGCTGTTTCGCTAGACGATTGCCTCAAGCAACGTTGACGTGTCTACCTGGAGACATCACACAAGTCGACATTGCACTCCCCTCTGGTTGTTTACTGGAACCTGGTGCTACAGTCTACTTGTGCCAGTGGCAATCATGGCAATGGCACCCCTTCACAGTCCTTGCAAATGATTTAACAGACGACACATTGGTCCCCTCTATCAAGCCAGAACCTGCACGGCAAGATTCAATGGCTTCCGTTGCAAGTGACAAGACGCTCGTGAATGCAACCATCACGACATTAAGCAAAGTGGATGAAGAATGCGGTTGTGTTGAAGATGTCTCGCAAATCAGCCGCATCAGACTCCTTGTCAAAGCGCAAGGCGGGCTCACCCGTCACTTGCACGATCTTGCCACGACTGCTGCACGTCGATCTCGGCAACCTGCCGTGACGCGCGTTTTGCTCGATGGACCGTATATGGAGAAACGAAGCGTGCACCATAATATGCGGAACTTACTCTTGATGGCAGGTGGTGTTGGCATCACTGCGGTATTCCCGGCATTTCAAGAAGCTTGCCTGCATAGCACTGCACGACATCTACAACTTATTTGGATCATCAGGACGCGTGCTGAGAGTCACGTCCTCAAACGACAAATTGAGGCGTGTCTCGCACGGGCGAATGCAACGCCGCTTGGACATCGTGCTTCTGCAACCATCTATGTGACACGAGAAGGTGCACCTGCTACGGAGGACCCATCGACGCCTTCTGTACAGCCGCCCTGCCAAGCTGCTGGTCGTACATCATGGCAACCGCGATGGCGACAGAGCTTTCAAGAAACGAGTCAACGACGTGCGTGTCACCGCATCCAATATATGTATGGTAAGCCTGATGTGGCAGTGTTGCTCGCAGGGGCTGTGGATTCTGTTCAGGCTGGTCTGGGATATTCTGCTCAATCTACAAAAGATGTGTATGGCTTTTCAGCTGCACGTCAAGAGAAGCGGTCGAAGCAGACAGGTGCTGATGGGCATTTGTTGCATGTCCATGTGTGCGGTTCGCTGGCTCTCTCTGAGGATGTGAGATTGGCCAGTGGACAGCGAAGTCTTGGAGAGGGGACAGGGGCAGTTGAGGTTGTATTTGAGGTACTGCGGTAGTCTGCTCCAGCTACACAATAGACAGTCTGGTCTAGTCCAGCTATACAAATGATCATACAGTAGACGGTGTACAATGTACATGTACAAGTCAGCGATTGAGTGTCTGCGCATTCTATTTTTGGGCAGCTCGAAACTCGCATTTGAGCATGGACCACGCAGACAGCAGACAGAGGGTCTGATGCTGGATACGATGCTGTAAATGAGGCTGTATTCGATGCTGTACATAGCAAGATCATCACTGGCTCGTCCGTGCTACGGTGCCACAGACCCTTGTTGCATGTGCTGCACGCGCTATCCTGCAGCACAGAGCAGACTATAAGAACCCCGTCTCCTGCACTCCAGCTACAGGTCACTCTAGACAGCATCCTACCTGCATCCACACAGCACGCACACCATGAAGACACGTTTCACCCTCCTTGCACTCCTCTCTGCCGCATCAGCCACCTACACAGGCTACAACCTCGACGCACAACGCGCAGACGGACAATGCAAGACCCCGCTAGACTGGGCAGCAGATCTCGCTGCCATCCGTACCTTCCCCAACCCAACCGGCGGTGACCTTGCAGTACGCGTGTTTGCCAGTAGTGACTGTGGAACACTCTGGAACATCGCTCAACCTGCCATGGATGCAGGCATTCGTGTCCTTGCCGGTGTCTGGGCATCTGACATTGACAACCACTTCAGCAGGGAGAAGGACGCATTGAATGGCGTCATACAGCTGTATGGGTGCGGATTCCTTGCCGCGGTTTCCGTTGGCAGTGAAGACTTGTATCGTCAAGAGATCCCTGCTTCTCGACTTGCCGAGCAAATCTACGATGTTCGAGGAATGGTACGACAGTATGGTGGCGCTTGTGCATCTGTTCTCATCACACACACGGATACTTGGACTGCTTGGGTGGATCCTGCCAACACTCCTGTCATCAATGCTGTGGACTTCCTCTCCAACGATGCCTACCCGTACTACCAAGGAGCAAACATCATCGACGGTGGCGCAACACTCGCTACAGCTATCAACAATGTCCGTGCAGTAGCTGGAGGCAAGCCAGTTTGGGTGGGAGAGACAGGATGGCCGACTGCAGGCGCGATCAATGGTCAAGCTGTTCCAAGCGTTGACAACCTGCAATCTTACTACCGTCAAGCTGTGTGTCCTGGTGGACCTTTGCATGATATCAACTACTTCCTCTTTGGTGCGTTCGATCATGCGAACCGTGCAGAGGGCGTGGAGCAGAGTTTTGGCTTGGCGAATGTCAACAGGCAACTCAAGATCAGCATGACTTGCTAGACGAGATCGACGAGCATGACAAGAGATACGACAATGATGACTTTGTATAGCATTTTAGCGCTTGAGCAGAGTCCTTTTCATGATGCATTCCGCTGTCTTGCTGCATGGTCTTGCCTCATGCTCCATGCTTTCGTCGACCAATCGTTTTCTGCGGGCTCCTAAACGGTGGACAATGATGACTCTCGTAAAGACACACTCTTGATTGAAAGCTCTTCAATGTGACCAAGATCTACTGAAAAGGCAAGTCATTGTACGTCTTGACTTGATTCTATGCGTCCTTAGCATAAAGAGACATGACCAACTGCTACAAAATTTGGGCTCTTACAGGCCGTTTCTCAGATGCACATCGCTGAGACCTTGCCCACCTGAAATCGCCACGGAAATTCCATTTCAACAAACGCAGAATACATCTGTGAGGCCGCAGAGTGAGCTGCAACCTCACATCGGCTCGGAGTCCTCACCGTTCAGATGGCATAGCACGTGCTCCCGGACGTGCTGTGCTGGCAACTCCTTCATATGCTCTCTTCTTACCTTTTCAATACATTAATCTCTTCCACATCTCATTCTCAGGCCTACTACACACGTATAGTTGCTTGAGTGGTGAAAGTGGAGAAGCAGCGACGTAAGGAACCTAAGGCCTTACAACAATCAAGTTGTGTAAAGTATGACATGATCTTCAGAGTATTCAAAACTCGCCACGATAATTGCTAGGGAGTTGATACGGATGAAAATATTTGCCAGTCGATCAGCATAAAGCATTTGAACTGCGCGCTACCATGAGCATATATTCGAATACCCATTAAGCGCCGGGGACCCTGGCTTGAGCCCACATTTGTGAAGCCCAATATAGCCAACGTCAGAGAGGTCCTTCATGGATTGCTTGAGATATTCCGCGACCAAGGTATGGTAACACGAACTTATGGTGGCGGCCACTCCATGCATGACTTCTTCATAGACAAACCAGTAATTGCAAAGGCAAGGGGCTCCTACAAGTGGCTCATTGTGGAACCACTCAACATAGCCACGGACTTTTGCGCGACCCTCCTGACACATGAATTGCCCTCGTTTCCATGTACGCTTGTATAAACCTAGGATGCGTTGGTCACAAATGGCTTGGCATGTCCCCACAGGATGTGGCGTAACGAGGGACATTCCAAAGCCGACATTTTGATAGCAATAGTCCTCGGCATGGCGGATCGAGGCTGTTTCAACAGTACTGAGCGGCTGCCAGGACCAGAATGTCAGGATTGCGAAAGAGATGAACGCAGCTGGAAAGCGCAACTTGGTGAATGCAAACATTGCCTGCTGTTAGCCCTGACAATGAATCGAATGTGGAAGTACGATTGTGGATATCAGACTTCAAGTGCAAGCTTTGATGAGAGATGATTCAGCAGCTGGCTGGCAGTTGACTCCTTATATCTGTCAAACTAATTTTAGGTAGTGCCAATGGGGATACATTTGTTGTTTTGTTCAATTGAGTCAGATACGACCTATGAGCAATTTTTAGTCAAAGATTGCAGAATAATCTCATGACTGCTTCTGAGCTGCTGAGCCTAGACTCGCCTATTGCTACACGAAGTCGTATCAGTGTTCCCGCGCATGTGCTTGCGCAGCACGCTGAAATTAGTGCAAATGCGCAGAACTGTGACGAAGGGCGAACAGGACAGGACGAATGCTTGTGCTGAAGACAGGACTTGGGCGAGATGTAGGGGACAAGAATAGAAATTGTAAACTAAGGAACAAGACAGCGGAAGGCTGCCTACTTATGTCTACCAGGTACCAGCATGAGAGCGGATGGCGATGATGGGGATGGAGCCCACGGGAGCCGACTCTCAGCAGGTGAACAGTGAAAGAAGAGGGGAAGCGAGATTGCATGAGCCCAGTGGAGATGTCCGAGCTGCAAGATAAGGAAGAGACAGAACAAGGGACGACGTGGTAGACGTCGTCGACGAGTAAGAGAGCGAGTAAGGACAACGTGACAGAGCGTTGCCGGAAGCGGGGAAGCTAGGCGCGGGACGATAGGCAACGTGCTGAGGTGATAAGCGTCGTTGAATGGCGGAAGGTAGAAAAGCCGCGATGAGTTGCTAGAGCATGTGGTGCGGGAAAGTCGGATGCGAGGTTTAAGGCTGCGTGTTCGTTACAGAACCTCCTCCTCCAAGCGCTGCGTCTCGAAGTGCACTTGGTCGAGTGGGTAGCTTGACGTAGGATGGGACAGCAGCATCGGGGTTGCGGAGATGGAAGTCGTGAACAAGAATCGGAGCATTCTGGTAGGCCTCACGAGCAGGGATCCACTCGTCCTCATCGTGTGGGAAGCCTTCGTAGTGGATTTTGTATTGGAAGCCGCTACCGCGTGGTTGAATAGCCATGATTTCATCGTAGATCCATTCCAGGTTGTTGCCGACGACGATAGGCTCGGGAGCTTCTTGAGGTCGCTCCAGGTAGGCCTTGCCGAGGGACTCTGGTGATTGATGAGGAGACAAGAGGCTAGGGTGGAACACATTGTGTATTCGCATCGAGGCAGGAAGACGGAGTTGGAAGGCTCGGTCGTGGATTGTGTCGGTGATGGGAAAAGGACCGAGATTCTTGTGCGAGAATTTGCCTTGTTTCTGCAATGCTTGGACGTTCTTGGCGTTGAGCCAGACTTTCTGGCCGAGCTCGAAGGGAGGAGCTTCAAGGCGATGACGATCAGCGAAGGCCTTTTGAGCAGCTTGAGCGTCTTTGAGATGATCCTTGAGTTCTTGTTGAACAAGCTTGAGACGTTGAGACATGTCGTAGCTAATAGCATTGCGAGAATCGGTAGTGGCATCGAAGCGTAGACCAGACCGAGGATGGTAAGAATAATTGGCAAAGAAGGGTGTTGTCTTGATGGACGCATGAACCGAGTTGTTGTAGGCGAATTCGGCTCTTGGCAAGAGCTTGACCCAATTGTCTTGATCGGCGTTGGTGAAGCACCGAAGGTATTGTTCGAGGGTGGAATTTGTTCGCTCTGTCTGACCATCTGTTTGAGGGTGATAGGCAGTAGACAGATGTGCTTTGACAGCAGGGTCGAAGTGACCAAGGAACGCTTTCCAGAACGAGGAGACGAAGACAGAGCCACGATCGGAGACAATATCGAGTGGCATGCCATGGTGAGTGAAGATTCTGTCCATGAACAATGCTGCGAAGCCTGCTGCGTCTGTGGCCTCATGGTAAGGAATGAAGTGAGCCATTTTGGTGAGGCGATCGACGACAACAAGAATAGAATCGAAAGAGTCCGAAGGTGGAAGCTTGACGATGAAGTCTAGCGAGATAGAGGACCATGGAGTCTCTGGAACAGGCAGAGGCTGAAGCAGGCCATAAGGCTTGTGGCGCGAGACCTTGGCGCGAGCACACGTATCGCAAGTTGCGACGTAATCGTGGATGTAAGCCCGCATTGACGGCCAATAGTACTGCCGAGAGACAAGGTCGAGAGTCTTGGCGACACCCCAATGACCGGAGATAGGCGAGTCATGATGTTGCTGGAGAATAGCCAGCTTCAGAGGAGCATCAGATGGGACGTACACACGATCTTTGTAGAAGAGAAGACCGTTGTCGAGAGAAAGAGGCTGGTCAGCAGTGAGATGGGATGCATCAGAAGGTGCTGGCGAGGAGGAACGACTTGGCGACGGAGAGGATGGACGGCTTGACGTCGAAGGAGGCTGCTGAAGTGCGTCGAGAGCGTCTTGCACCAGTGGATCAGCGGAATACGCGGCAATGATGCGAGCGCGGAAGTCGTTGTCTGGGAAATTGGGAGCAGACGGCACAGAGGTGACTTGCCTCGAAGTTGGCGAAGTCCGAAGAGTAACAGGAGCAAGTGACAATTGACCTGGCTTGAAGAAAGTCATCGTGCGAGTTGATTTGCGATCCCCCTCGGAAGGCCGGAGGTCCTCGCGACGGCTTAGTGCATCAGGTTTGCCTTGTTGAGCACCAGGTCGATAGACGATGTTGTAGTTGAACCTGGACATGAAAGAGGGACCAGCGTACTTGACGTGAACTGAGAAGTCGGTTCGTGTTGAAGTACTCCAAATTCTTGTGGTCGGTGAAGACAGTGATGGCATGTGCAGAGCCCTCCAGATAGTGGCGCCATGCTTTGAAGCAATCAAGAATTGCCAACAACTCCTTGTCGTAGATTGGTAGTTGCTTTCTGGAGGCGAGAAGGTGCGGCTGTGGAAAGCCACGGGTCGAAGGATCCCGTTTGTATCGGCTTGGACATGACACAGCCAAGTGCAAAGTCGCTGGCGTTCAGTCTTCAATGACCACTGGCTTGTCTTGCGTCGAAATGAACGAGGATAGGGCAGAAGAAAACAATTGATTTGAGCTGAGTGAATGCCGCGGTAGCTTTGATCGTTCCAAAGGAACACTCTTGGTCGCCTTGCTTGTGAGAGCGTAGAGCGGCTTGACAATCTTGCTGTAGTTGGAGATGAAGCGACGGTAGTAGTTGGCGAAACCACAAAACACTTGGACGTCGTGGACTGACTTTGGTTGAGGCCAATTGATGATGGCGTTGACCTTGACGGGGTCCATTGCAATGCCGGTGGGAGACACGACATAACCAAGAAATTCGACCGTGTCGACGTCGAAGACGCATTTTTCCGCTTTGACGAAGAGATTGTGCTCGTCGAGAACCTTGAGAACTGATAGAACATGTTCAGTGTGCTCGTCCTGCGTTTGGGAGTAGATGAGGATGTCATCAAGATAGCAGACGGCGAATTTGTCGAGGAAAGGTTGAAGCACAGTGTTCATCAACGTCTGGAAAGAAGCGGGAGCGTTGGTAAGTCCAAAAGGCATAACGTTGTACTCGTAGTGCCCGTAACGAGTCTTGAATGCGGTCTTCCATTCATCTCCCGGCGCAATACGCAGTAAGTTGTATGCGCCGCGGAGGTCAAGCTTGGTGAAAATCTTTGCATGGTGCAATTGATCCAAGGTTTCAGAGATGAGAGGAAGAGGAGCCCGATTCTTGACGGTGATGGCATTGAGGCCGC